TAATCAGAGCCCAGGGTCTTAGCATACCGGGGGTTCAGATGGTGCCAAAGGAGGTCTTGCCAGCCACCCATCAGCTCCTGTGCCCCAAGTGAGCTTTCCCAGTAGCTCCCTTCCTGATCATGGCTGTCTCTCCACCGCTTCATTTGAGAGCCAGTCGTTTCCTGGAGCTCGGTCTCTGAGGGCCATGTTCTCAACCTCCCTGGGATCCTGCCAGCTGTCTGCCAGCCACCACCCCCTGCTTATGAAACAAGTATACATGCCATATTCAATGCAGATTTATTACTGTGGTGGCACTGTGATGACACATGCAAAATATTTGTCCTGATTTCTGTGATGAAAGCTGAGACTTTCAGAAAGAGGCCTTTATTTATTTATTTATGTTTTGGACTAAAATAGATTTCTTACACCTTGCCTGCTACTGAGCAACATGCTGCCATGATTTTTTTAACACAGTTCTGTTTTGCTCTTTTGTTGTATCTTCTAAATAATGAGTGATAACTGGATGGATTATAACTGGATGTTTTACTTTATGATCAGTAAAAGTAGCAGAGGGAAGGAATGATGGTTACTAAATATAAAGAGTAATAGGGCTGAGAAGCCAGCCCATAGGAACTTCCATTGTATTACACCAGGGGTTTTCAACTGTTTTAAAGGAGTGTACCCCTTTTAGTGGGTACCCCTTTTGGACTGTACCTCCTGGATGAGTGGGGAAGAGGGGGTCTCCCGGCAGCTGGTCAATGAAGGGGCGGGGGTTGCTGCTGTTGCTGCCACATGGTGGTGGCACACTGCCCAATTACCCCCACTTCTCCGCCACCACATACCCCCTGGGGCAGCAGCCCCCATCATTGACTGGCCGCTGGGGGACCCCCCTCCCTCGCTTATCCAAGGGGTACAGTCCAGGTGGGGTACCCACCAAAAGGGGTATACTCCTTAAAGGTTGAAAACCTCATGTTTAATACAAGGGAAGTTCCTATGGGCTGGCATGGGGGTGGCAGCGGCAGGCGCTGCCCAGGCGGTGTGGGAAGGGGTGAAGCCATGGCTCATGGTGGGGGAGCCAGCTCCTGCTGCTGCTTGCACCCCAGGAGGGCATGGGATGGGGTGGGCTGCAGCCAGGGCTGTGTGGGGCTCTTCTTGGTGGGGGCTGGGTTCAGAGCGGGTGCCAGCAGCACTGGGAGGATGCTGCATTCCCCCCACCGCCAGCTACCCGGTGCAGTCCAGGCTGTTCCTGCTGCATGGGTGGAGGTGGGGCGTTGAGCCTGGGCTGCACTGGGCAGCTAGCGGTGGTGGCAGTGGGAGTGGAGCAGCAGCAATATTTGGGGTGGATTCAGCATCCTTCACCACCACTGCCACCTGATTCGAGCCCAGTCCCTGCCAAGAAGAGCCCCACAGCCTTCCCCACTCCACCCACCACAGATCGGGGGGCCCATGCCCCGCTGTGTCCTCCCTGGGTGCAAGCAGTGGTGGGAGCCCCCTGCCCCCACAAGCTGCAGCTTCACCTCGCAACCGTGCCTGGGCAGTGCCTGCCCCTGCCCCCTCCCTCACTGTGAGGGGCATAGATCTGCCCCACCCACTCCCCTTCTCTCTCCCCTCTCTTCCTCCACACCAGATTTACCAGCTGGAGGCAGCTGTATTAGAAGTAGGACTGGTATTGGCTGATATGCCTCCTTACATATCATTATCAGCCCCCCAAATCCCCATACTCCTTTTTTAATGAACAGGCCATCTTTTTGCCCTTGACAGGCAGTTGCATTTGTATACATTGGGTATAATCTGGTTGGTGCATAAAATTGCTGGCAAGACTTCTTCCCTGAGGACCCTTCCTTTTAGAGCTTCTCTCTTCTCTTGCTGCCTCCACAGCAGTCCAGCTCTGTTTACCTTGAAGACTCTCTTCAAAAGTTCAAGCCTGCTCCCTGGCCTTCTGGCCATTGGGTGAGGTTGGAGCGGGTAGTTGGGCACTTTGCTACTGGTCTTGCTAGGCAAGGTTTAGTCATTGTTTGTGTTTTATGTTGCTGGTGGAGTGATGGTAGGTGCAGGAAACTGCGGTAGTGGTGGCATAATATGCATCTTTTTAAGTATTTGTCAAGGGCTCCTAGCAGTTCAAACAGGTGCTCTTCCTTATACTGTACTGTACACTTAAACAGAAACTAAAGGCTTTATAGTCTTTGCTGCATCTGTTGCCATATATTAGAATTTGAATGCCAGCCTGGCCTTCTACTTGGGGGACACTTGGAGGACGCTTGGTTATGTCTGAGCTACGGACAAGGGAACAATGTAACAGAGTGAGGAACTAGGAATGGTTACCGAAAGGGTCAACAAATTTGAGGCTTATAGAGTATCATTTGTTTGCAAACTGATGATTTTTGTCTTATGGTTTTAATGCTTATGGGGACAAGAACAAGGATAATAGGCTAAGCTTATGACTGGAGGACTTTATCAGAGGCTAATCACATCAATACTCAATCTGCACATACATACTCAATCTACAGTATGTGTAGCTGCATTAGTTCCTCTGCCTATAGTTATAGTGTGTCCATATCTGGAATGCACCTTTGGAGACCCTCAGAATACAACCATAAATTGGAGAGAGTGCAGTGAAAAATGGCAAAATAACTGACAGTATTGGTTACGGAAATATTGAAAGAATTAAATATATAAAGCATGTATGAATACCAGGGGCTGGCTAAAGGAGATAATATTTGAAGAGTAGGGAAAAACAGGTCTGAAAACAATTTTTAGGCTAGCATAAGAAATAAAATTGAGTTAATGGCATGGAACTGAGCGGCAGTGTTTTAAGCTATACCTCAATGGCCTATGGAGGCCCCTTCTGACCCTAACATCTATGAATCTATAGGTCAGTAAAATTTATTTATACAGTGAGATCCACTGAACTAAATGCTTTCGATTGAGAAGTTTTAAAATTAGACTGGACCAAGCAGTTGCATATTAATCCTTTCTGCGTATTATGACTTTATACACTATCATTCATTTTGTTGGACTTCCTCCTCTTGATTTCTTTTCTTCCTGTGGGGCTTCAGGTCATGTTTTCCAGATGAGCATTGCCATGTGGGTATGTTCAGAATGATGTTGCTGCCTCCTACGTCCATTCAGAGGTTGCTGCAAAGATGACTTTTACTCCTCACTTTGCATCCCTCTGCCATATCAAAAGACAGAAGCTTACTCATCTTAATTTTGAAGGTCCCTTATATACTCTCCCTGCACTGACTACAGTCTCCCTGGATGCTGCAGGGAATGTTGACTTCTGGCTTTGCAGCTTTTAGTTAAATGTTGTTCCGCTTTGTTTAGGTGGGGAGCAACCCTGATCATCCATAGTCTCTTTGCAGTCCTTCAGACTTTTAAAACTCTCCTCTACACTGGTGCCTACAGAAATCTTGATACCAGTTATACAGTGGATGTGCTCTTTGAGCTGCTTTGCTCTAGTGCTGCTTTAAACTGTGAGGGGATTGCTATGATAAGCCACCTTTTCTTTTCTTTTTTTTTTTAAAGACTTCCCTCCCCTCCATTTCTAATTTCTATCAAAATGACTTTGATAAGGACAGACAGCTGAACATAACGACAGACAGCGCCTTGAACATAATATACTAGCCATTTATTTCTGGAACCCTAGGTTTCAGTGCTCCTTAAGAAGGCACATCTAAAATGAATTTGGCAGTATCCAGACCTCTCCTCAGTTATGCAGGCCCATGTTACAGAAATGATACAAGTTTGGTTGCATGTGCGAGGGCTATTTCTGGAAAAGGCAGAGCATGAACAGAAAGCATTGCTGATTGGAACTGTAACACTAGCAGAGATGCTGGTGTATATCAGGCCACTTTATGCAATGCTAACTCTAGGCCTGATTCGCCATTTGAATTCCACTTCCTACCTCCCAGTATATCTTCTGCATAAATATTTTTAAACTGGGAGAAGTTTTGGAGTCTGAAGGTGTTGGCTACAAATGTCCAACTCGGGATCCTTAAAATTCTGGTTTATTAGGCAGATTGAAACACTGTAATGAAGTTAACTCATAAACCTTGGGGCTGGTCCCCCCCCCCCACACACACACATGCACACACACAGTAGTCCGGTATACCTATCCTACAAGCACTGGAGTCCGCCGTCGATGGCCAGTCAAGGCTTCTTTCAGCGTGGTGTTACCCTCCAGAAGGGGGTCGTCGGCTGGTCCTTCTGGCTGGACAGGTCTGGTCGAGTTGGAGATCAAGAGGGTGCCACTGAGGGTCACTTTTCACTGCTTTTTATCTGTCCTTAGCAGACTTTGGTGACTCCCCAGTTTTCAGGTTTGCCCAATCCAGGGGTCATTGACCCTCACGGGACTTCCCCCCTCGGTGGCTACTGGATGACATCTGTCAGCTCCAGGGGTCGTCCGCATGTATGTGCAGGTTTGTGAGTCCGTTGATGAATTTTGAATAGCGCTCTGGGAGTGGTCGCTCTTTCAGGGGCCAGCCTGATACAGGGAAGGGCAGTTTGATTCCTGCCCTTGTTGACATTGTTACAATGTATAACTTACTTATGAAACTAAACACATTTAGTTGAAAGGTGAGGAGTATAAAATATAAACTACAAAAGTAATGCCATGGCACACAAATAGATAAAAATACCAAAATACAAGGAGAGATACAAAATGCACACATATACATTTCAAAACACAATTCCTTATCTTAAAGTGAAAGAAAGAGGAAGGAAGAAAAGGTAGAAGAGGAAAAACATATCCAAGGAGGCAAGAGCAACTGCAGGCAAGAGGAAAACAGGCTTTCTGCTACAAAGGGATCCACATGCCCCCACCTGCTCTGTAGAGTGGGTCAGCAGGATTTGGGGTCTTGAAGAATGGGAGGGAAACTGATCAAGAATTGTTTAAGGTGTGTGGCATCTTCAGAGCAACAAAAGAAGCAGTGTTACCCCTCATCCCATAACAAAAACGAAAATCCCCCAGATATTTTGCCGGTCCACTCACCAGGTAATGACTTTGGTTTGGTTTGTTTCAGAGCAGGAGGAGGAACTTACCAGGAGGCCCAAGAAGGTCTACCTTGTTAAAGTGATGGGAACCAGGAACCTGTGGAAAAACATTGTGGTATTATGTGTGAACTCGTAAGTCCAACATCTTCCTGTCAAATATGTCAAACACGTTTGCTGCTGGTAAACTGAAAGTAGATAGTGGGCAATGCTGGAGAACATAGAGGCCATCTTCCTCCCAGTGCAGGAGCCTTAACACCCTGTTGCTGATAACTGATCTTTGATAAGAGGAGTGAACTTTACCAGGAAAGTGTGCACTTGAAGAAACTTAGCAGAGGAACTAAGCTTGGAGTTGGGCCTGCTGGTAAGCTCCTTCTCTAGACATTTTAAGATGTGGAGCAAAAACATTAGCTTCTTCATGTAAATGGTAGTTCTGCAAGTGCATTGGTGTGTCAGTCACCAATATTTTCTATCTCTGCCTCCCTTGGACACGAACATTGGCTGTTGGTAAGTAGGTAAAATTTCCAAGTGCACTTAAGTGACTTAGAAGAACAAGTCCCACTGATTTCTATCTCAGTTCCATCTTCACTTTCCGGACTCAGCAGGGTTTGTGCTCTAAGTTTCTTGGATGCATTTGAACATTTTACCCTCTGCTTCCAGTGGGTAGAGTCAAGAAGGCAGAATCATCCTTCCAGGTAGTATTTTTGCTTTTCATAGGGTTCTTTTAAAGTTGAAGTCAACTGTTAAATAATTGTTCATGTTTGGTCTTCCAGTAAGAAAGGAAGGGTCTTTTTTTTCCTCAGGTGAGAGAATGAGCTGTAGGGCACATCTCAAACCCCTTTGAGGCTGGGTAAGAGGCCCATGTAGGAAAGAAAAAGTGTTCCCCATGCTGCAATTTTGCAGTGCAGGGAGAAGATTAGACCCCTGAATATCCAGGGGATAAAAAAAAATGGAATTTAAAAAAGTGGGCAACCAGAGGCTGGGTCCTCCATGGAGACACTTGGGCTGCTAGAGCATCTCTATGGTTGGCCCCTCGCCCTGGTGCTGAAACGCAAGGCCTGCTTGTTCAGCACCAGGGCTCTAGTGCCGTAAGGGGTTGGGGCGGGGGCTGGAGGAGGGGGGGGACCATGGGGGGAACCCTGCTGGCCCTACCTGCTCCCCCAGCCCTCCCAATCCCTGCCCTGCCTGGCCCCACCCCCCGCCCGCCCCCCCCGCGCCTCGTG